CCCAGAGTGACACTAAACCCCTTCCTCACCCATTTCACTTGGGGCCACCGATTGTGGGTGAGCTACTGATCATGAGCTGAGCCTCGGCAGCTGCGCAACCCCTTTGCACACCACAAACACGAGCCCTCTGAAACACGGGAACTTGTTAAGCGACTGTAAGTAGACCATGAACCTCAGATTCTCCATTAAAAAAAAAGCAACTAAGCAGAGATCAGAGAATGCATTCAGGGATTTGTGCTGGCTTACTGACAGCCATTTAAAGTCACTTGAGCCTGAGGTTGTAAAAGGCAGCTTTCCACATCAATAAGCTCCTGCCTTCCAACCTCAGGAGAGCCAAACGGAGACACTGCCCTACAAGGTCTTTAAGCACCCAGCGATCTCATGCATGACCTTACTTGTCTAATTTTTCTTCTGCGTGGACTTTCAGGGCCTGATAGCGCTGCTCTTCTTGCTTGACCCGGGCTAAATAATCTTGAGCACACTTCTTCAGAGCTTCTTCATTCTGGAAAACAATACAAAACAAAAAAGTACATCCATCTGCATCGGGACCGAGCACAGAGATGTTTGCTCTGATGGGATGACATATCCCGCTCTGAGTGAAAAAGAAAAAGGCTTTAAACAGACCAAGCTCCTCCCTCACGCTGGAGCCCCTCATCCAGCTCGGCAGCACAGACAAGCAGCGCGTAGACGGAGGCCAGGTTTCTCAGGGCGCTTTGCCCCGGCACCCACCCTGCCCAGGGCACGATGCTCTGCTGCCAGCAGCTCAGCAGGAGAGAGCCGGGGAGGAGAGCGGAGAAGAGATGGAGAAGAGCTGGAGAACTGGGCTCCCTGCTCTGGTTTCCCCTGGCATTTGAAAGACTCTTTGCTCGTTTATCAGAAAGCGGTCAGGGGAAGGCGAGTGAGCAGCCCCCCGAGCAAGGGCCAGGGCGCTTGAAGCAGCACGGACGGGAGAGCCACGGTGCTGCAGCAGGGGACAAGGCGGGGGCAATGCTGCACAGGAACTCTGCGCCCAGGGACCAGGGCCGTGGGAGAAGGAGGAAACCAAGGAAAGGACCTTCTTAAAGCCTTCTAGGACGCCTTTCAGGTTTTCGTATCTCCTGAAGAGATCTGACAGGGACCTCTCCACCGAGTTTAGGTCTGCCAGAGCCTGGTCCTTTTCCATTGTGAGCTGCTGCAGGTTCTTCTGAGATGTCATGTTTGTCCTCTGCTCGTCCTCTGTGATGGAGAATAAACAGCCGGGATGCAGCGACTGAGCGGGGACGGCTGCAGCAGCCAGCTCCCTGCCCCGCACGCCCGGCCAGGCGACGGCACCTTACCTATCATCTGGGCAATGGTCTTCTCGTACTCAGCCACGATTTTCCTAGCAGGAAGGGAGAAAAACAGCAAGTCAGAGGCAGCAGTTTTTCGCAGACACGCACCTACAGCCCTGCTGCCCCTTCCCCACGCCGCAGAGGCAGCCCAAGCAGCAGCCCATCTGCAGAGCCCCAGCTCTCGGTGCCGCGATGCCCATCACCGCTGCTCCAGGCGAACGCCTCCCTCCAGCCGCTGCCGCTCGGGCCAGCGCGGCTAAGGGGATTTTATTCCTGCCACAAAGAAACGGGCAGGCTCGACACAGCACAAGCACGAAGAGCGCGCGTCTCCTAACACGTCCCGCCGAGGCGCATCATCCCATCACGGCCCCGCTAACCCACCTCCCAGCGGGGCACGCACCGAGCAGGGCAGCAGGCAGGCGAACGCGCGAGGAGCAGGCTCTCACCTCATCTCTAAGACCTCCTGGCGGCTCTCTTCGTATTTCTTCTTCCACTCGTTGGCTTCGATCTCCTTTGTGATTATCTAGGTTGCAGCAGACACAGGACCCTTGGGACACGCTCTGGGTGCCTTCCCTCGCTGCCCCGTGCCTGCGATGGGTCAGGGACCAGACCCTCCCTGGGCCGAGCAGAGCTGCCCCCACTGCACCACAGCAGCAGCCGGGATGGGGTCTGGTGAGGGGCAGCCCCGGGGTGGCTGCTACGCTGGGGTGAGCCCGGGGAGGACGGGGGTCCCCGGCCGTTACCTCCTCTCTGATGAGCGTGAGCACGGCCGTCTTCTCGGCTTCACTGAGGCAGATGCCGTCCAGGGGACTCTCACTCCTGCTCACACCGGTGATGGCTGTGGGGGACTTGTCCATGGAGCACAGCCCGGGATTGCCCTGCAGGGAATTACCCAGCTGGGATGCTGCGTGGGTTTTCTTTTCGCCCCATCTCCCCTCTTTAGGGTGTTCTCCCCATTTTATCAGCCTCTGTTCAGGCACCAAACCTCCCTACCTGCACACCGACAGCTCAGAGCCCAGTATGACTTTTGGTACACTTTCTGCCCAGTCCCTTGCTGGGAGCTGGGGCTGCTCCACAGGACACCCCAGGGAAGCTGCATCCCAAAGGGAAGACCCAGTAAGTTCCCATTTCAGAAGGAGGAGATCTAGCTCTGAGCAGAGATGTGCTCTCATCTGATGTCCCTTGACTTTTCCCGTGGTTGGCTTAAAGATATCTCCAGCCTGGAGGACCTTTGCTGACTGTGAACCACGTACAGGGGCAGTCTGTGAGGGTCCTGGTCACCTGCCTCCCAGTCAGGAGGAGACATTCCTGCAGCTGATGCACCCGAACTGCCGCTGGCAGCTGCGGGGACATTTGTTGGGCCTTGCTGATGGCCCCGAATGCACCGGGGAGCTGGTGGGGGCAGCAGGCTTCACCTCCCTGCAGAGCAGGGGTCCAGCTGACCTGGCTCTGAGGCTGCTCCCACAGGGCTCCTAGCACCCTCCTGTTTCCACCGCAGGCACTCCCACCGGGCAGAGGTGGTTGCACCCCCATCACTCACTGCTTTCTCCCCACGGAGCCCAGCTCCTTTGCACCAGTGCTGCAGCCACAGGGACCAAACTGGGGGAAGAGCTCGGCCCCACAACCCAGGCACCATGCTGGCCCCATCCCTTCCCTGGGGGGTCCTGCAGCCTGAAAGGCCTCCAGAAGAGTATTCCTTCAAACCCAGGCTTACACCACCGCCTGTTCCTCCTTTTATCATCCCAGCCGAAGTGACAGCCCCGCGCAGCCATCTCCTTGGGAACCGGCTGCCAGGCCATAAATAGAGAAGTGCTTCGGAGGAGGCAGCCTGCTTTTGCCGTGTTTTGGAAACGGGAGCGCTAAAGCACTTCTCTCCCTCCCTCCCCTCCTCCCTGCGCTGGGACTGCTGCGCAGGTTCAAGCACGACCAGCCAAGCCCTTTGGGGCTCTCACAGCTCTGCTGCCCACAGGAGCTGGTGAGTGATGGCCAGTGGCAGAAGCCACCCCCAGAGTCACCCCTGGGTGCAGTTTTGGGTCCAGGCAGCCAACACTGGGGAGGTTCAGCCCCGGGTGGTTTCGGCAGCAGCTTCCTGCAGTATCTCCCAAAAGCGGGCGTGCACCTGAACACCTGCAAGTACCTCTGCCCACTGCCTGTCCCACGGCAAATCCTCCCACACTGTCACTTTGGGATGACCCCAGCTCGTCTGCAGGAGCAGAGTCTGTCCACACTCTCCCCAGCACCAAACAAAAGCTTCACTTTGCCTAATGTCCTTGTGGGGCTTAGCATAGTTAAATCTGTCTCAGAGAAACTAATTTTGCTGATGTTGCTAATCTCATTGTCATCTGCTTGCCACCTCGAGCAGCTTTGGCCAAGGGAGGCTAAGCTGGCACAGGGTTCCCCCTGCAGCAGAGGGGTCTCGGGGCCACTCCAAGGGCTCCTCGGGGCACATCAGGAGCACCCCCATGCAGAGGTGCCACTGCTGGGGTGCCAGGGTCACTGGTGGGTGCAGAGCCAGGGCTGTTTTTATTAATCCCCCCAACTCTGCTGTCAGCTGCCTTCCTGAAAGCAGCGTCCGAGGACCCCTTCCTTGCAGAACCGGCCGTCGGAGCCACCCCTGGACTCCTCCACCCGAGACACAGCCCCTGTCCTGCAGCTCATCCCTTCCCCGTCATCTCCTCTGCCCTTTCGCTGTCATTCAGCCACTTCCAAACGCCTTCGTTGCCCTCCCATGGCTGCAGCCCCGGCTCCTCACCAGCATCTCTCCCTCCCACGCCCACCCAGGACTGAGCCATCCTCTGCCAGCCTCCTCCTGGCCTGCTGGGAAAACACCCCCATTTTTATCAAGTCCCTGCGTGGGCTTTTCAAGAATTTTATCTCTCAAAAAAACCTCATTTCAGAGAGGTGTCGGTAGCACTTCTGGGAGGAGCAGCAATGTTTGCTGCAGCTTCCCCACACCCCTCTGCACGGCGGGGCAGGCAGCAGCTGCGGTGCAGGAGGATCAGCCCCCCAGCCCCACCGCCCAGCCGAGCT